AATTCCCATATTAATAGTGAAATTCAAGCCTTTAATATGAAGTTATGCAAGCTAGCTAAGATCATTTCTCATGTCAATGTAATCGAGATGCATAACAATAGACAACTATTTACTGCACATGGATTGCATCTGAACAGCTTGGGTAAAGAGTTGCTTTCTAGTTATCTACTTCTTCATATTTATTCAGCGTTGAAAGAAGATATGGGCTCAGTAATAACTCTTGCTTGGCGAGATAGCAATTTTCAGGTTACCTCTTCTCCTGTTGCTAGTTATTCCACTCCCCTAACTATTTCAGATAATCAGAATCTAACAACTAATGAAACTATTTTGGACAGGTTAGCCAGTACTCCCCGTTTAGATAAAGAAAGTTTAACTAGTTGTACTGTAAATGGCAACATAAAAGTAGGTACTCCTAGCATATTGAAGACTAGAACTTCTAGTAGAATCAAAAAAGCCCCTGTGACAAAAAAAGATTTTTTATGGTAAAGTCAACCTCTAGGTCACAGACAGGTAAATCCATTCCTTCGTTGAATAAAGATGTAAGTGCTAATCAATCAGCTGTAAGGAACACTATCAAATTGAATAATGCTAAACCACCTTATGATACTGTTCATAAGAACCATATTCATCCTTCTAACAAATTATTACAGAATCATTATAATACAAATAAACTAACAATTCTTCATCAAAATATACGAGGAATTATTAATAAAGTTGATGAATTCTTAAATTCATTATCTCTTAATGCACCTCAAATTATCTGCTTATCGGAACACCACTTGAAAACTGATGAAATAAGTGAAGTAAATTTTGATCACTATACTGTCGGTACTTCCTATTGTAGACAAACATACAGTCATGGAGGTGTGTGTGTTCTTGTTCATAAGAATATCCAATTTAATACTATTAATCTAGACCAATTTAACAAAGAGAAGGACCTTGAAATTTGTGCTTTGAAGTTAAACGTAGCTTCTAGCAACTTCACTATTATTTGTATTTATAGATCTCCAACCGGCAACTTCTCATACTTTTTAAATCAGTTGGAATTAATTCTGAACAAAGTACACAAAACATCAAGTGAATTAATTTTATGTGGTGATCTCAATATAAACTATCTTAATGACAGTTCTAGGAAAGATCTCTTAGATTCTCTTTTAGCCTCTTTTAATCTCTTCAGTACGATTAACTTTCCTACCAGAATCTCTAATAACTCTTGCACCTTAATAGATAATATCTATATCAATACTCATCGGCATGAATATTCCGTGCACCCTGTTATTAATGGTCTATCAGACCATGATGCTCAGGCTATTACCTTAAATAATATCTCCATTCCTGTCCCTAAACATGTATCCACCTATACGAGAAACATTAACA